TGCGGTTTCATTTGAGTGCTCATCAGGATCAACTTTGGAAAGATATTGAAGTTGTGCTTAAACTTTTTTTTGTTACTTTTTAAAAATTCGCCATTGTAAATTTATCCTAAAAGAGATATATATATATATGTTTTGACTTCCACATCTCAGGAATATCAGTATTGTAAATTCTTGGGGTGTGACACGAGCATACCACTGAAAGGTTAGGCCATCTACAGTTTCAACAAACTGACGGAGGAGGAGTCTCCCATCAGTCACTATCTCTCGAGATCCAGCTTGGAAATGTGGGATATGCTGGTACGAGGATGTTGTACCATTGAACAGGGGAAGCTTCCCCTTTTGGTAATCCAGGGGAAACGGAACTTGATTAATGTAGGAGGGGTACGACTTTTGGTAAAGTTTTGTCCCCTAAATTCCTGAGATCTGTCTGTTCTTCAAGCTGTGGCTTACCATGACATCGTTGTCTGCCTGTGAGACAGGGTGAGGGATGGAATTATCTTGTGAGGCAGGAGGAGGAAGCTGCCTTAGAGCTGCATCATCCGAGTGATGGGAGTTGGCCTCATGATGGGACAAATTGGCTAAGGACCACACGCTTTCCATGCGGTCAATCTTCTCCATCATTGCTCGCGCCATGTGTTCAAACTTATCCATGCATTCTTCTTGGCTATGGTTAAGTTTGTTCACAACCATAACGCTAACCGTTTCTTCAGAGAGGTCAGCCTCAGGTGCAGTTGAAGGCTTCCGAGCTTGGCTGGTCATGCGCGGCAGATCTATCAGCAAGGGCTCAGCATGCCCCAAATGAACTCAAGTCTTATACACTGACCGCGTGAGGACCAGCTCTCAACGGTCTTAGGACCGTGGCTGCTGGGCGGTCGGGTCATCTTCTATGACGTTGACCACCGAGCAAGATTCTCACACCTCTTCTTCGGCTCTGGGATTCGAAGAGGGTAAAAGGGATTTTCAGGAAGGAGGTCCTTGGGGTCGCTCACCTCTACTGTCCTGGTTGGCTCCTTAGTTAGTATCTACAATCATCTGTCTTGCTTGATCTTGAGGCTGGGATAGACCTCTCTTTAGAACTGAGACTGGGGTTGGTTGGCCCACCCTTTTGGAGCATGAGAGGGCCATGTCCATAAGGTGGGGCAGTGAATGTGGACCAAGGACAGGGGCCAACTTAGGCTGCTACCTCGGGGGTTTTAGAACTTCATCAGGCATCAGGCCTTTGCCTCGAGCTCCTTTGTGGGCTCCAGAGGCATGACCGACCTGATGGGGC